AGTTGCATAATCTCATAAAAGATGTAACCTTGATTCACATAAGACAAACAAAATTAAAAACTTACTTTGAGGTACATGACCCTGCATCACTGTAACAGTTAATAGAAAGTCAATTTGACCTTCTTATAAGATGACAAGGAAGATTTAAATGCCATGGCATAAATTTGAGCCATGCAAGGCACAATATTGAAAGAGCAACAATCATAATAGATAAATCAAGCATACGATCTATTCATGTATTTGTTCATTCATCGGATGATTTGTGATCATAGATAGCATGCCAAGAATCATATATATGTATCAGGGACAACAGACAAATAATCTTGGTTTGTACATCTATGATCTTACCATTTATGACAATCATTCCAACTTTTTGTCACCAGGGGTTGATTTTGTTGAAGTTTTTCAGACATGTTTGGGGGTTCACAATGGCTAACGTGCATTATCATTACTGTATGCTTTGTTTCTTTCATTATTACATTGCACCACATTTAGAAATAATTATATAACTCACCGAAATGCAAAAAATCAGTGAGAACTGTGAGCATGTTGTCTTTCAATTATAGAATTACCTATATCAAATGTGCTGGATAACATTAGGTGGCTCCATCTCAGAAATCATGACATCTGAAAAGTGCTGCTTCTATCCTGTCTGCTGTACAAGCTCGCTTGGCTTGGTGTCACTTCACACAACCCTGCTTCACGAAGATAGAAGCTGGAAATGGAGCAGGTTGCGCAGTGCTTATGTGGCAATCTTGGTGGTACCATTTTGGTTTTAACATATAACATAAAAAAAATTTTTGGAGTTGTCTTCAAATACTTTTAGAGTAGCCTTCATTTGCTGTTTCAAACTCTCAGTCTTCTTCTAGACCAGAAACAGTTGAGTAATCAGCTTAGTGAGAGGTGATTCACTGATGCATTTCTTCCCAGTGCTGAGGCCATTTGATGTTGGGAAGTAATTCTCAAAGTCTGTGGAAAGCTCAGATAGGTGACCAACCTGGGAGAAAAAGCACACTGACTCGGTGTCTTTCAAAATGGCAGTGAATGTTTGAAACATCAAAGCCCCAATAATAAACCATGGCCCCTTAATTCCAATCTAGCTTTGCATGCAGGCTCATTTAAACGCAGTTATTTTTCTGTGCTGAAATAAAAAATGGATTTTATTGAGCAGGTTGAATATGCTACTTATCTATTATCTCTCCTCTTTACAACTGAGTTTATTGGTATAATTATATATGCATACCAAGTATGTTCTTCGTAGGGAATTTCTACCTATATGTACCTTGCGTTTACCATAGGGAATTTTGTCAATGATATGTTGCTGATAATGACTATATTTTTGTCACAGAATTGTAAAAGAAATGTCATTTTAGAATATCTACTTCAATATGATGATAGCTTTAATTTTATTCTACAAAACATAAAATTCAGTTTCCTTTTTAGACTAGCCAGCTTTTTTCTATAAATGACACAGAACACAGAATCAGAGTTACAAGCAATCTCTTTGATCTAAGTAGTCAAACTAGAAAACCATCTAGTAGTCCCATCAGGACCTCTGCCCACTTTGTATACTGACACAGAATGACTGACTCAGGTTTCCTGATACTATGCAAGGCCATGAAAGGTTCAGCAGATGTTTTGACTTGGCAGCAAGATGCACATAACGTACCTTCACACACATCCTTATGAAAAATAGAGCTCACATAGCATTGTCCCCTTATAATTATAGGTAGGTTCATCAACCTAGATTTTGTGTCATGTCAAGTCATTAATTCTCTCTATTGTTAGTGCCTTCATATCCTCTTCTATTGTCACTTCCTCCAGCTGTGGAGCTTGCTAAAACAAGAAGAAAAGCCACCTTCCAGCTAAAGCTCTCCTAGAATTTTGTGACAAATGGTTTTAGCAGGAGGCAAGGTGAACTCTTTAACCGCAGGAAAGGAGTTGGTGACTTACTTATACCATTAACCACTAAGAATTCTGGTTTAAATGTAGAAATAGTTGATACCATAGTATATTTCAATAGTTGCTACTGTTGTTTGTGTTCGTGCTTTTCTCCTTTTGAAAATTTCTAAATGTTTGTTAAAGCAGGATACATGGTGTCTGCATACTAAGGCAATTTTGACATTTTCATGGTTTTGATGGGTAGGTGGTCACTATGTGTGACAAAGCTGGCTTGGAAATGTGAATCATCTGTTGCACTGAATCTGTAAGTTAAGTACAACTGTTATTTCTTTGTAAAAGCAGCTTTCTTATTGTTGGCCCTCTTAGAGTCTTTTGCTGTTCTATCATTAAGTCTTTTCTTGTTTGCAAAGCAGCTCTCCGGTGACTTAAAAAAATAATCCATTTTGACTAGATTTGGCTCGTGGCTTACTAAAACTGTGACTGAGACATGGTCACTGTATGAGAAAGAAATGTGGACAGAAGTGGTAGCAAAAATAACATGTGGGTCACGTTTGTACTAAAATAGGTGTTAGATTCTAAGTTAAGCTGGCCACCAGATGGAGATATGCAATTGAAACGCATCAATGCACTTTCTCTCTAAAGCTTGCTAACATGTAACTTCTCACTCACTGGCAGGATTCTGTTGGTGAATATGAGTTTCTGAACAGCCGACTCATACAATCTCTGTGTAAGCCTCCGTGCTGATGCACCATGTCACCATCTTAGTTTTACCTCAGATAATTAGAGAACTAATTTTCCTGAGAAGCTTGGAACCTAGAATCCTTGCATATACAATGCACAGTGAATTACATGTGCCTGTGAAAATCAAATGCAACCACTGTGCGTTAGGAGGAAGAACTTTGTCAATAATGCAAGTGATGGGGAACAGCTCTAAGTACAGGTGATGCTTCACTCCGTTGTCTCCCATTCACTTCATGCTGATGGCCTAGAAAGCTGTGGACCAGTGCTTTTCATGGCCAGAGTATGGGGTACGCATACGCTTGTCTATGAGAGAGTGAGACATATTGTTTGAATATAAAGCAGTGTGTGGAATTAAAACAGCAACAATACAGGAAAGCCAAGAAGAAAAGGCATCACCAAACCATTTAATTTAGTTGATTTTATTTTGTTTTCTGGAAATATATGAGATGTTTCTTCATTAACTTCAAAATGAATGAAGACGAAACACAGACATGTAGGTAAAGTAAAAGCAAAGGTGTTGGTCAAGTGCACATATTTGGGAATAAATGACTCAGGGAATTTGAAGTCCTTGATATCTCAAGTTTAGCCAAGTTTGTTATTTTAAAAATATTACATGACAGTTAAGAATATGTTAGATGGAATTCAATATAAGTATCTTCCAAGATGTCTGACATTGAAATTTGAGGAAAATTAAACACTGGTTCAATACTTCCTGCTTTGTAGATTAGAATAATCATAGTGTGTTCTTCATATGATTGTTGAAAACAAAATGAATGAGATGATAACTTTAATAAGTTTAGCAATGTGTCTGACACAGAATCTATGCTGTGCCCTCTGATTATCATTACTATCATTATTGAACAGGATATATGTTATTTATGTTGGAATCTAATTTGAGATAAGAAATCTTCAGGTTTCACATTTAATATTTCATACTGCTTCCAAAATTTGAAGTTAGTTTTACCATTCTCAAGTAGGTGAAACAATTAAACATGAAATAAAAACATGAAATAAAAATTATTGAAAAGAATTATCTTTGAGAAGCATCACCCTAGCCGCTTCTTAAGAAAACCACTAATTTAAACTGAAGCAAGCTTCACAACATTTTCAATCTGCAAAGGATTTTATTCTAAAAAATATCTGACAGGTTCCTCTAGTGCATAGAAATAGAGCCACATCGATATCTATTTACCCAGTCAGCCCTGTTTTTCATTCATTTCCCCCCTCTTGACATCAATTTCTCAGCAAGATGGTTACTATAGCTGCAGTGGCTGTATAGCACAACAATCGCAATGTATAACCCATATCCATAGGCAGAAATTCAAAAGTAACTACTGTGCCACAGCATGTGAAGCATTCTTTTACAGCAGAGTGATACACATCAATCTCTTTCTAAATACCACTAAAAACAGCATGCACTCGTCCTCAGAAATTCTCCTTGGACACAGAAGTGTCTTCGCTTCCACTAACCTCCACCTTCTCATTATATTCTAGCACTGTACGTTATGCATCAACACACTTAATTTCTTTTTTGATTTTAATTCAGGTAACCAAGTTCTAATTTACTAATGATTTCTGAATGCCTTTTTATTTATGGTTTGGGGCTATTTGCATGACAGTCATTTAGCAAATTAATGTAGATGAAAAGCAATAATTTTACAGATGTTTATTGCAATCATGCTGTCATCCCATACTTAAAATGCTAATCTATTGGCTTCTGTTCATTAGAGATGAGCTTCACTTACTTTGCAACATTAGTATTTTATAACCTGGGGTGTTCTGAAGTAGGCTGAACTTCAGAATTTTAAGCGTTCTGCTTAGAATTGATTTTTCAAAGAGTAAGTACATTTTATTACTACTTTAAAATTATCCCTCTTCTGGCTGGCATTATATAATCTGGGGCTCTTTACATTCATGTACGTATTATAGGGTAAGTGTTTCTCTTAATTTTACATTTCTAGTGGCATAATCAGGGAATATAGCTTCAGACAAATAGTCCCCGTATTGAATGACAAAGTCCTCAAAAGGGTCAAAAGTTAACTCTTGTGAAAGACAGAAATGTAGCCAGGTAAAGAACTGGACTAGGATCAAGGGCCAATGCCACCAGGATTTCTGTCCTTTCTGTGCCTAGTTGATCTTTTCTGAGCAAATTATATTTATTTTCCTCCTGGTATTTATTTGCTAATATCAAGGGTCTCAATACTCTTGGTAGAAATGACAGCCTTGCTTGATCATAAACAAACACCTGCGTTCATCCCCAGATCATGGGAAGGATGACTCAGTCTGTAGATCACTCTGGAGTCCTGGAAATGGGATGAGGGTGAAGATGGTTTTCACTCCCCAGAGTGGCTGTGCTTGGCACTTATGTGTGCTTCTGTTTTAACTGGTGGTTTAAAACTTAATGGGCAGGTGGAAAAAATAAATTATTTTGTAAACCAAAGCCCATTTTTCAGTATGAGTTTTTTTTTGTATAAGAGGGAATATTAGGGTGAAGCATAGTGGTACAAGTCTGTGATCCTGAGACTCCTGAGGTTAAGGCAAAGGGAAAGAACTCTGAACTGTAGAGTGAGACTCTACTTCAAAACACAAGCAAAACCAACAATTTTATGATGACAGTACAGGTTAAAGTCACAGTGTTTATCCTTTGTAAAAAATGGCTGTGGACTAGAGAACTTAAAACCTCAGTAAATGAAAGGCTTTCAGTATATAGAAAAATTTTCATTTTCATACATTATGTTTAAAAAATAAATGGGACCACGAGATAGCACAGTGGCTTAAGTACCTACTGGGCAAGGGCAAGTCCCAGAGTTCAATCCTCACGATTAGAAAAAAAAAATATCCTTGAACTGGGTGTGATGGTGCCCACCTGTAACCCCAGCACACTGGATACTGAGGAAGGAGGATCCCTGTGAGTTCAAGACCAGCCTGGAGGCTGCAAGAGTAAGCACAGGGCCAGCCCAAATTGCCTAGTGAGACCCTGCCTCTGAATAATAAATGAATAAATAAATACTTCAAAATAATGCAGTTTTCATTTTCAAAACATATTTTCTCATACTAAAACTGAAACATATAAAATTATGTAAACAATACATTTTGTATTAGGCCTGTCACATTTAATATATTTAATAATGTATCATATATTTATACATATTATATATACAAAGATATATATATATAAATTATATGTGTATTTACAACTACACAGAATATGAGCATACATGTTCTAACTAGCACTCTTCAAGTGCTTTACATAAGTTATTAAATTTTATGTATTTTTCTCAATATATGTAATTCATCTATATTGTCTTTCACTGTCTAACTTTTGTCTTTCATTGATAAGTCATACCATTTTGAGTTTGATGCTTGTTGTGTGACTATTTTTAATATACATTGGTATTAAAAATTACACATAAAGTAATGTGAATAAAATTTTAAGTTTTAAATAAAACATTCATATATTTTTCTTTATGACCATTTGAATATCATGTTAGCATTTTTTTAAATTTTATTTTAGAGAAGGGTCTACAGGGTGTTCAGGGTCTCACTACTAGATCAGACTCGTAGTGATCCACCTTTATACAGCCTCCCAAGGGCTGGGATTACATGTGCATGCACCATGCCCAGTCTCAATAGCGAACCTCAGCAAGCCCCAGTGGTGGGGCTGGACTGGCAGGCCCTGAGATTGAACCCATGGCCCCTGCAACTGCTTGCATGTGCTTTAGTCTGCTGAGCTACTTGGCCAGCCCTCAATTTTTTATAGTTATTATAGACAAAGTTCTTCTACAGTAACACAAAACTATTCATATATATAATATATAATATATATATATATATATTTCTAACTAACCTTCCTGAAACTTTTACTTGTGTACTACCTGACCTCAACTGACCAGACTGTAGTAACTCTAAATTAAATTGAACTTAAACCCAAAGCTTATTTACAAGACTGTTTCCTTTTCATGCTTTCAATCACACCAAGCATTACATTTTAACCATAGCCCCAGGCCAAGCAAGACTGTTACAAATGCTCAATGCACACTGTGCATTTCAGAAACAGCAATACTGAGGCCATTCCGTGCTCTGCGTCATATGCTGGGCTGTCTGAGCCTAGGCTTCAGGAATTGGCTGTGAGAATTTTGACAACCAATTTTACATGTGTCACGTTGCTCTTATCAGTGATAAATTGGAAATAATAGAACTATTAATGATGCACGGATTAAATGGAACAATCAAGCAAAATGGGGCCACAATGTTGTACATCCTCCTATTTTTCCTCCTCCTCCTCCCTTACAACTTTTCTCTCTTTTGTCTTTTTTCTCCTTTTGCCTCTTGCCTTCCCCTTCCATGACCCCGCAGTTCTACTGGAATGATGTAATTTGGCTCACTTGCTTTTGTGTTGTGAAGAGAGTTTTTAATCATATCTTATGTATCAGTAACAATAAACACACAAGAATTTCTTCCTTTAGACAGCTGAGTTCTACGATGGCACGCGCCATATACTTATCTTCCTCACGTCCGAATCTGTCTTCAACGTACACTCATCAAATATTTTATCCATTTTGTCTTTGCAAGATGTGGCCTACTTCATTTTTTGTCAGCTACTGTTGTGGTTTTCAGTATCACAATATGCTGATGGACTCATTCTATATCTAAACTATAATTCTGCATATGACATACATTTTTAATATCTTCTCAAGAACACAAAGGAGTTTCACTTATGCAACACATAAAATATTGAATTTTCAAAACATACCTCCACCCACCTATTTCAGAACAATATAAAAGAAAGAAGCAAAGGAAAGAAGAAGGAAGTTGTAAGAAGGGAGAAAGCAAGGACAAAATATAAGAAGGACCTTTGAGTCATTCTCTTCCTTTTTCTCCTTTCAGGTTGATTGTGCAGCACCTCCACGCAACTATAAAACTGTCAAATGGGTGTGTTTGTCTCTCTTACAATCGAATCTTCACAGTCATCCAGAATCCTCACACCAACGACTGCTTCTTTTTTTTTTATTTTTTTATTTTTTATGAGCAATGAAACATTCACTATCTCAGTGCTGGTCATTGCTTTTGCTTCATTCTTTGTTTCTGTGTCATATAAGCAAATAAGAACAAACTCCAGTGCACTGTTTAGAATGATTTCAACAACAAAAATACAACTCCACTGCTCTGTGTTTCAAGCACAAAACCTCTCAAAAATGTTCTCATATTATCTTTCTTTCCCCTTAATTAATAAAGATTGCATAAGAATTTTCTTCTCAATTTTTAAAAATGTATTTATATGGGTGCCGGGGAGATGGCTCAGTAGAATAAACGCTTTCCTGGCAAGCACAAGGGTCTGAGTTCAATCCCTGCTTCTGCCAAAAAAATAAATAAATGAATAGAATAAAAACGTATTTATTTGCTACAGGGTCTCACTAAGCAGTTTGGATTCGTAGTGATCCTCCTGTCTCAGCCTCCAAGCACTGGGATTACAGGTGTGAGCCACCATAACTGGTTCTGAGGCTGGCACCGCACACCCAGGTTTCCAGGCCTGGTGCAGCACGTGGAGCAGGTGTGAGACCGCCAAGCCATTCTCCCAACCATGCATAAGAATTCTTGCCCATGCGTTCGTCGTTCGAGGTTTTGTTACATGTACTCCTGATGAGTTAGTAGTAGCAAGTAATAAGTAAAATAAAAGTAGACATTTGCTTTACACAATTGGTTACCGAAGAAACTCCCATGTATTAATGAAAATTAGAGCACTATGAACTGTGAAATGATGTGAGTTCATATTCCATTGCAAATTCATAGTACTTTTGTCATAGCAGCTAAAGGCATTATAAGGAGTTCCTAATGGGGCTTTTCTTTCAAACCTTAATGAATAAGAATGAAATAATTCATTTTAACTCATTTCTTTTTGTTTTAATCAGTCCTGGAAAATATATAAGAAATAAGTCCATTTATCGTCTAAACTTTTTTTTCTGACTTTAAAATAGTTGGAATAGTATAGTGAGTAAAACAAACAAGAGAATCTAAACAACGTATTGATTCTAAATCACAAAGCTGAAGGAAGAATAAATAAACTTACAGATATGGAAAAATTCAAATATTGAATGGCATTCAATTTTTAAAGTTCTAATTATTGTCAACATTTTTCAAATAGTTTAAACAATTAAAACTGGCAACCCAAACCAAAATGAAGAACATTGTTATTGTACAAGTGGAACATACTCATATGCATGCTAATGCCAGTTACTAGCATGTAAAACCTGCTCTCCAATTAGCAGTTCATTTATCCTTTTTATGTTGTGAAAATGAAACACATCATCAGACAGCTTACTCAAAACTGGAGGAATTGACTTAGTTTAAACCATTAATCAGCACTTAAACCAAAGTATTCAAACTCTGGAAAACTTGCATTTTATTCTCAGAAATTTGATAAAATGAGTACTTAAAAGCATGTACTTAGGAGTTAAAATACTTATATTAATCCTGTTTCCAGTGGTCTCTGCCTAAGTTATTGGGCAGGTTCTTCACCTACAAAATGAACATTAAATATGAAGATGGCTTTTCTGAGAATTAAAATATGTGAGCAGATTGGTATACTGCATACATGTACTGAATATAAATGGTTACTATGTTTTAGCCTCTACTGAGCCTCTTCCTCTTCTTAAAAAATATTGCATTCCTAAAAAATATTAAATGAGAAATATTACACAAAAATAAAAAAATAAAATGTTAAAGTGTCTTAAGATATGAAGACTTAATGAGCATTAGATAATTTAAAATATGATTTAGTTTATAAAAAGGTAAATGTACATATATTTGGATATAAAATAAATATTTCATTAAACTATAATGTGAGGTCTGAAGGTGACATTATTTTTCAGAATTGTATCCAACACCCAATAAGTGTATGCTAAAAGGAAATTATTCCAAAAAACTATGTATAAAAATCATAAAATTAATCTTTTGATTATGTTTCAATTTTAATTATTTTCTTTATATCTTTCAGAACAATATACTTTAACAAATACACAATTAAATTTAATATATAGTAAGTATGTAGAAGTTTATGTTATTATCATGATGAACAGGAAATTATCACTTTCAATATCTAATATCAGTTCATGTATATTAAAAACAGTAAAATATTTGTATTGTGTTATAATTTTTATAATATTTGAAAAATTCATACTTTTATTAATAAATGAGAAATAAACATGAAGAAAACTATGGTGGCTTGTGAGGCTAAGAATAGCCACCATGAACCAGAGATTTAAATATCAAAATAAACCATATTTCTTCATTATACTTCTCTCTGTGTTTACATCTTCCTCAACTTTCTCCATATAAAAGAAGTGTAAAGCGTTCATTAGGAGAGTGGAAAAATGTGGCTGCTCCCTGATTCCAAATCCTAGGCCTCACTGCTCCATCTTCTAGCAGCAGACGGCTCCTCTCTACACAGCAAATGCAAAAGCTTCAGAGCAGAACTCACTGGTTCAC